CCAGCTCATGACCCAGAGGGCCTCTGCCCCTCTTGCTGCTCCTCAGGGGGAGCTGCAGTAGCTCTGCTCATATATTCGTGGTGTAGGGAGCCCTCATTGAAAGCTGCTGCAGTTTGTGAACCCATTTCAATGCTGGGGCCTAGGTGGGTGAGCTGGCCTGACACAGGTCCAGCCCAGACCACAGAAAGCAAAGAGAAGAGGAAGTTACACGATGGCCTGGCCTGGCTTCTGGCTCTAACTTGCCTTTATCAGAAAGGCCCTGACTGGAGGCGGTGAACACTGCATTGGCCATCAGTGAAGTCTGGTTTCCTGGGCGGCTGGGCGGCTGGTGCCTTGATGCCTCTATCCAGAACACCAAAGGAGGGGAAGCAAAGAGGGGCTTGGCAGTTACCAGGGCTGACACTAGGGTTCGAGAGCCCAACACCTGCATCTCTGCAGGAGGGATGTGCCAGCATTCCTTCTCTCCTCCTGGCATCAGGTCCTGTGTCCTTCCTGTGCCCTTGCCACCCCTCTAGGGAACCACACTGGTTCGGCTCAGCCATGGCGACTGCATGGCTCTTCACGTGGAACATTCCAACTGTGGTGTAAATGTGGTCTTTATAGAGGTGAGGTTGGGGCACGTACACCGCTCTGGGCCTAGGTGCTGCCGAGTTAGTATTGGCCTGGTTCTCTGGACAGAGCCGCCCTCTCAGAAGGGGAGCCAAGTCAAATAGTGCCTGGGCGCTCGCACTGTTCTGGAGGGAGGGTTTCACCCACTGCACGTCAAAAATTTAGCTTCCTTGACAAAAAAAGATTTCCATTCTTTATTTCAATACATCTTTGTGGCCTTTTCCGCTGAAACTCTGACTTTTAAACTATGCCTGTGAAAAATATCTATTAGCAAATAGCTTTATATTTAGTCTTGGAAATTCAAAATATACAGTGATGTTTGTTTGTGTTTGTGTGTATATGTGTGTGAAGTGGGTGGGGAGGGAGAGGGAGAGACAACAGAGACAGAGGAAAGAGTATGAACAACTTCCACCATGTCAGCTTTCACCTATAACAGGAGGAAAGAGACTGTGCTGAGCACCGGCTCAGGATGGCCTCTTGGCTGCTCCACGTTGGTGAGACCCTTAGGATAGCCAGTGCTCCTTCCCCATTTTACAAGAGAACTTGAAGCTCAGTGAGGAAACTGCCCAAGTCATATTGTGAGTAGGTGAAGCCACCAAGATCTGAGCCAGTGGCTCGTGACTCCAAGTTGGGAGTCCCTTCTTCAGCGCCACACTTGCTCAACCATGGGCCTCCCCTAGCCCCCCGGGGCATTATGTGTAACAACCTGCATATTGGCCTTATGTTATTTATGTTACAGTTGCAGAATTCTGGACACACTGCATATGACAGGTGTGCCACTGCATCACTCCCCTGCTGCAGCTGTAGGTTGCCCATCAAATCAGGAGGCTTGGGCTTGGCTATTTTAATGCAGCCATTATTTCACTGCTGCCAGTTTTTCAATGCAACCTATTTTTTGAACAAATTTTCCCTCATTGTTTGCATTTTTTACATTTGCCACAGTGTCTCTAATGTAAGGAAAGGAATGCATATGGATGTGTGAGATTTGGTGGAGGTCTACGAAGGAGAACTGTTTGGGGCTTCAGTTTTTATTTTATTGCTTCTTTTCAGTTATTTATAACATTAGGATTCATTTTAACATAATTATAAAAGCATGGAATATAATTTGCTTTATTTCAGTTCCTGGTACTCCCCCCACCTCTGGCCGCTGTTCCCTTGCCTTTGCTCTACTGATCTTTCTGCTATATTATAGTGTGTGTGTGTGTTTTTAATTGGCATCTGTGGATGTATGTGATGGTGAGAACTACAGTGGTATATTCATGCATGTGCACAGGGGGCACAGTTCTTGTTGAAAGCCAACAGGCCTGAGTATCAAAGAACAGGCTGCAGGGATATACGAGAGTCTTATCTAACATCATGAAATGCAAAATGCTTCCTGATTATACCTGCCCCATGACTCTAGAAGGACATAAATTAGAAAATTACTAGATTTGCCTAAAAAAACAAAAGATAAAACTTCTCCATCATAAGATACTTAAAATAGTTGAAAACTGTGCAAAGGATATTAAGAAGTCAATAGGAAAAAAAAAAAAAAAGCAGACTTTTTAAAAAGGAGTTTAACACCTTGCCAAAGAAGAACTGTTTTTTTTATTATTTTTTTGACCTGGGATGACTACCAGGTTAAAAAACTAAAATTTTTAAAAAAGTAGTCCTCAGGACAGAGATTGCAGCCTGGGCCCCCAACCCTCAAATTCACTCTGGTTGGGGGAAAACAAGAGTGCTTTGGAGTCAGGACTCTGGACCACCCAGACCATCTGAAGACAAAGACTCACCCTGAACCTTACTGGCTTTGTCACCTGGGGGTCCCTTAATGTCTCAGGGGCTCTGCTTTCTTCATCTGTAAAATGAGGAGCCTGCTGCCACCTCACTGGAGTGTGGGTAGAGGGAACACCCAGACAGGGCTTGCCCTGAGCCCAGTACATGTGTTATCTATTGTTATTATTGTTATTACTACTACTGCAGACAAGACTCTTTTAGAGCTCACGGTCATAACCTAGGGCTTGAGGGTCCATTTTCCTTCTGTTCTGAAACTATACAAAATTATGTGAGTCTGTGCATTTTTCTAGAGAGTCTAGAACTTTCCCCAAATTCCTAAAGGGACTGGAGACCCCAAAACATTTTAAAATACTTTCTTTTTAAAAGGAACCCTTTGTAGGAATGCCAAAGGTAAAGCTGAAGCCATGAAGGAACATAGGCTTGGGCCACAGGACTCACCTGCTACCTCTCACTGGCCTCCAAAGGCTCCCTACGTGGTAACCCCTTCAAGGACAGCCTCTCTACCGCATGAGAGCCCACGAGCCCAGTGGCTCTGCAGGAGAGGCCTGTGGCTTGGTTAAGTGATGTTATTTTGCAGGCCCTGGGGATCTTCCATCTCCAGCATGAGCATCAACCGCCCCTCCTGCATGGCTGACCTGGCGAGGAGCTGGGCGGCCTCCCACGCCCACTGTCGCTCTGCTCCAGCTGTTAGGGACAGACTCCTATTCTCTGCCTTGGTCCCTGGAGCATGGACCAAACACAACCAAAACCTTTTTCTCCTTCCTGAATGTTCTTCCTGGAGGTCTGGCCTCCCTTCCTCAGGATGGATATTGAAGAGGGCCAAGGGCAGGAAGGGAGGACACAGCCACTGGTGCCATGCCTTGTGCTGGGGTGGGATGCATGGGAGCCGGCCCCGGGCCTCATATGGGAGAAGGCTTGGTAAATGGGTGAGAAGCACCCTCAAGGAGGAGGCCTGCAGTGACTGTCAGCACCCAGGCCGCCCTAGGTGCCCAGAGCAAGGCGGCTCTAAGATGGGTTCTCTGGAAGAGCCCGCTGAGATGTCCGACAAGGACGATCCCAAACCTCACCCATCTGACCATCCATCATGTGTGGGCTAGCTAAGCCAAGCATCAGCCAGGACTGAAGCTGAGAAGTTGGGGCTTCACAGGCAAAGCTGAGTGTGCCCCGACCCCAAGGAGGGGGAAAGACAGGATTCCTCAGGAAGTGGAGTGAGAGGAGGCAGGCAAGGCCAGCTCCTCCTCACATCTGCCAAAGCAGCCATGCTCTCCTGGGCTTCTGCAGCCCTGTGGGGGCTGGGCCACAGTTAATAGCAGTTGAATAAACATACATACTAATAGAGCAAGATGAAATTTTCTAAGCACTTTTGATCTTAACCATTCTCAGTCTGAGAAGTATTTTAAAGAACCTGAACCAATGTGTGGTGATTTTACGTATTTTGAACTATGTGGCTGAAAGACCTGGAAGACCTCCTAATGTTCCATGAGATGAATAAGGAGGACCCAGCTTGTCTGGACCTTAGTGACTCAAGTCAGTACCTTCTTGCTGAAGTGACCAACCTTAGAACAAAGGAAACTGCTAGGGGAGGCTGGACCTCAGGGTGGAGGGGCTGAAAGACCTAAGCTATTCAGAGGCCTAGAACCCTTCTGGCCTCAGTTTCTGAGGAGAGCCATAGATTGAGGTGTGTCCCAGACATTGTCCCTTCGGTGATCTCAGAATGCATGGGCTCTGAGCATCTGGTCACAGTGAGCTTCCTTCAGGAAACACAGATTGAGCTGAAAGGGAACCTGGTACCACCAAAAGATGCTTGGAGACTGGTGTATGATTCCCTGCATCATTCAGATGTCTCTGGCTATTTGGCCAAACTCTGGGCTAATCTGGGCCCTGTAATCCTTCAGAAGTTCTTACTAGAAGCTGCAGTGGTGTCATGGAGCGCTGTCACTGGAAGGGCAGATGTGGAACCTGGCTGAGGTGTGCCAGCGCTCAGAAGTGCAGTTAGGTGAAGCCCAGGCTGGCTAGTGAAGCAGAGCAGGAAGCTGCCTGGTGCTGGCAGGCGGTGCCACATCCAGCAGCATACGCCTCTTCACCAACAGAACTAACTTTTTAAAAAGTCACTCCAGGAACTTCCACACAAATGTGTGGTGATTTTATGTATTTTGAACTATGTGGCTGAAAGACCTGGAAGACCTCCTAATGTTCCATGAGATGAATAAGGAGGACCCCAGCTTGTCTGGACCTTAGTGACTCAAGTCAGTACCTTCTTGCTGAAGTGACCAACCTTAGAACAAAGGAAACAAATAATCTCTGAAATCCTGACAACCCTGAAGGATGTAAATATGATGTCCATTCTACAAATAAAGGAAGTCAAGGGTGGGGAGAAGTGAGGAAGCGTGCTGGGAGGTCACAGTAGGAACCAGTGAGGGTAGAAGATGGGCTTGAAGTCCTTACTTTTATACCACATTATTACTCAAATGTGCAAGACAAAAACCAGTTCCCTCAAATTACAGGCCTGTGGCTTCCTGTTGGAGCCCTGCCAGAGGCTGTGCCTATCTAGGGTACATCTGGGGCTGTGGCCTTGTGGCAGGCAGTATGTGACATGTGCACGTCTGTGTCCCTAGGCCCATGGAGAGACTGCCTGCAGGCCCTGGAAGATGGCCATGACACCAGCTCCATCTACCTGGTAAAGCCTGAGAACACCAACCGCCTCATGCAGGTGTGGTGTGACCAGAGACATGACCCCGGGGGCTGGACTGTCATCCAGAGGCGCCTGGATGGCTCCGTCAACTTCTTCAGGAACTGGGAGACATACAAGGTGAGATCCAGTGGGGCCTGTTTGCACTGCCCACAGGTGACTGGCCCACCCCAAGGCAATTAGAATGAGGACAGGGCCATTTTTGCAAACACCAGGGCGGTAAGGACAGGCTCCTTACTCTGCCTACTGCTAGCATCTGTCACAGGACAGCAGTTAAGAGTTTGGACCACCAAAACCCCACAGGGCAGAGGGACTGCTTGCTCCAGCCTGGGTGTGGGCAGACTCCTGCTTCCAGCTGGGGTTTCCATGGGTATGACTTATTCTTGGTGCCCAGAAGGGGCAAGGCCTGAGGCTTTCAGCCCTGGGAGATCCCAAAGGGCTCCTGGAGAGAATTCTGCTACTACTGGAGTCCTAACTGTAGGGCCCATCTCAATTTGTAGGGCACTGCAGTGCTCATCATTGTAGAAAGCAAGGCTGCACCCCACTCTCCTTCTTCTGGTACTGAGGACAGCCTAAATGGCTCGGGCCATGGGAGTACCCACAGGGATCTTGTACATGACCTGGTGACATAGGTGACAAGGGAGAGTTCCTTGCTCACAGCTACCTAGCTGTGACATGCAAAGCAGTGACTGCAGCTTAGCCTTCTGAAACCAAAGCCATGACTCCCTTGGCCATAATGCCTCTACATGTGGCTCTGCCACACCCCCTTCTTGGGTCTCTCTCTGTCTTGGCTCCCTGGACCACCTCCTGGCCAGCCTATATTTCTGCTTTTCCTCCATATCCCAGCTTGGAGGCTCCTGGAGTCTCTCCTCCACACTTCCTCCTCTCCTGTGGAGGTGGCAGAGCAGTGCCCAGGACTGTGTCCTTCCTGCTCGTCCTGGCTGGACCATCTAGGGAGGATAATGATAGCGCCTTGCTCTTAGGGTCGGTATGAGGGTTATTAAAGTATCCTGGTGAAGTTCTTGTGACAGTGCACACATGCTGTAAGTGCTCACCAAACCCTAGAAATGGTTACTGCCAATGAACCCATCTGCTTACGAGGCTTTGGTGGCCAACATGCAGCTGATGACCTTAAAACTACCTGTCAAAAACAACTATAAGGTCAGCTAAAGATGGCGGTGGCGGGATGAGCCAAGTAAAGTTTGTAGCTTAAGCCCCCACCCCCACCCCCCCCCCATGTTAAAGGAAGAACAGGCGAGGCATTGGCTGTTGGGAGGAGAGCAACAGGGTCAAAACGGAAAACCATAAACCACATGATATTATCAAGAAAAACTCAATTTTTGATGTCATAGCCAGAAAAATTGAACAACTACCAGAAGCAGAAAGGAATCTACTTGAACATGGATCTACAAATATTGAACTTAATGCTGCTCTCTGGGGCCTAACGGCAGTCTTTTTCGGTGCATCTTGCATGTAACACAGGCCCGAATAGCTGCTGGCTTACCAATGGCAGTGCTCCCATTTTGACAGAGAATGCATCTTTCAAAGGTTTTGTAAGCATAGCTTTGGGTACAGGTGATTTGAACTGTGAAATCTGTACTGTGATACGAGGTGGACCGGTTGATTTTGTTTTAGGAGGTCTATACCCTTTTTTCTTAGATATACCTGTAACTGGTGGCCTAGCAGCCAGGTACAATCAGCCCTGCTGCCAGAGAAAGGAAACACCTTCACTTACTGGACTAGAATTTCTAAGCTTATCTTCTCAAAAATGTTATTTCCCATTTTACTTCAGACTATGTTTATAGCATACTTTGGGTCTAGACAATATAAAGTACTTATAAAAGCCCTTCAGTTATCTGAGCCTGGCCTAGAAATTCACTGATTTTTAAACAAATGTAGATACAAAAATAAAATTTTAAAGATAAAAAAAAATGCTAAAAACTGGTAGGTTTTCAATCTCAAAGGGAGCCCGGGTGGATGCGACATGTCCCTCACAGCTCACACCTGTCTGGTGTGCTAGGGCTTATGTGTTACACGCACCCACAGCAGGGAGGTGAGGACTCTGTCCACGAATGCCGGCCACATGCCTACTGTGTGCCAGGTTCTCAACTGACCACATTGTCTGTGATCCTGCAGCAGCATGTGGGGAAGGCAATAGCATCCTCAAGTGAAGGTGAGGAACCCAGGACTCCCATGATACCTGGCCCAGAGGGGGCATGGTCTGCTCTCCACATGACCCCTCTCCACATGTCTGATGCACAACTGAGGTTCAGAAAGGTGAAGTGACTCTCAAGTCACACAGCCACCATGTAGAGGAGCCAGGATTGGAGCCCAGGCCTGTCTCTGGCTCCAATTGTTTCCTGGGCTGCTCTACCCAGGCTGAGGGTCTGGCCGCTGGTGAGGACACTATAAGCTCCAAACTCATGCTCTCCCTTATCTTCCCCAGCAAGGGTTTGGGAACATTGATGGAGAGTACTGGCTGGGCCTGGAGAACATTTACTGGCTGACAAACCAAGGCAACTACAAACTGCTGGTGACCATGGAGGACTGGTCCGGCCGCAAGGTCTTTGCAGAATATGCCAGCTTCCGCCTGGAGCCAGAGAGCGAGTATTATAAGCTGCGGCTGGGGCGCTACCATGGCAATGCGGGTGACTCCTTCACCTGGCACAATGGCAAGCAGTTCACCACCCTGGACAGAGATCATGATGTCTACACAGGTAGGAAAAGTGGAGTCAAACCCAGGAGCAGGGCAGGGAAAAGAAGTCAACCAAAGCCAGAGGCCACAACCCAAGGGCTTGGGAACAAGGAGTCTCTAACCCTGTTCCCACCTCCTGAATATCCCTTCCTCTACCAACTGCCCTCAGATTCCCTCTGCAAAGCTAGGTTACAGTGGCACTTACCAAAAGGGAAAAGCGAAGAGATGGACACTCCCATGCCAGGCTGTCCCATCCTCACCTGTCTGAGGCAGACACGCCCTGGGTTCCAATGCTGTCCCTACCTCCTCAGCACACTGCACAATCTCCCTGGGCCTTGGTTTCCACATCTATAAGTAAGGACAATACCTACCTTGCAGGGCAGGGAGAAGGTTAGAGAGAAGGTACCTGATAGGACTCTATCAGGTACCTGCACACAGCAGGGGCTTGAGCTAGCATTGATGCTAGCGGGCTCTTGGCCATTACTGTGTCTAGCATGTAATGTTAATGCAATGCGGAGAGGAAACCAGATAGGAGACATGAAGTGATTTGTTCAAGGTCATGTGCCTCAAACCCAGGTCTTTATTAAGTTTTAATTAGATAAAAAAAAACAAGGGAGGGGGCTGGGGTTGTGGCTCAGTGGTAAAGCGTTGCCTTGTACATGTAAAGGAGGCACTGGGTTCGATCCTCAGCACCACATATAAATAAATCAAGGTACTGTTATAAAAACAAAACAAAACAAGGGAGAACACAGGAAATAATAAGATACGCAGATACAGTCCTGCCATGAGTGCTGACATCACACTTCCCCACAGTTGATGCCTCCCAAGGCCCCAAACTCAATCTGTAGGTTGGTGACCCCTGTAGCTAGCACCACCTCTGGGCTGAGGCCAAGTCTGTTTTCCTGGGTGAGCCTGGCTCCTCCTGCCTGGTCTTCCTTTCAGTCCTGGTCTGAAAGCAAGTCCTCCCACCTTTGAGTAGCAGCCTCTGGGGACTGTCCCAGGAATGGCCTGTGCTTTAGGCATGCCCTAATACCTATGCACTGTGGTGAAGGAGCTTCACTCCAGGACCCCAGGCAGCCACGCTCTAGCAGACAGGTGTCCTGACATTGGGGAACAGGAGAGATGCGACCCACCTGTCCTCGCACTACACTGGTACTGTACTGACCCTGGTAGAGAAGCAGGCCCTTGCTGTGCCAAGGCTTCCGAAAGAGCAGGGCAGGAGGATGACCCTCAGCACTGGGACAGGGTCTGTTGTAGACTTCTTTGGGGTGACACTGGAGAGCAGTGAGAACTATGTGAGGGCTCTTTACCCTTGGGATATGTGAGGCCAGAGCAGAAGGGGCACCCTGGTGGATGGGAAGCAGACCATGGTGTGCCACGGGTCTCCTTACTCCCCAAATGTAGCACTGCCATTTGGTCCTTGTAGCCTTGAGCTGAGGCCCCAGAACAGCTCTGGGAAATCTGGGGTGCCGGGGCTGATGCTCTCCTCCAGCTTTCTGCCTCAGGCTGCTGTGACCGTCTCATTCTGTCCCAACATTTCCACTGGAGCAGGGCTGCCCCTCCATCAGGCCCTCCAACCCCCAAGCCTGGCAGGAAAGCTCCTCTTAGAGGAAGGAGTCCCTTCCCAGGCCCAGTCCCCCCAATTGAGCAGCCCCAGTGACAGTGGCTCCTCTGGTCCTTCCCGCCCTGTGGGCACTGTTCCCCTGCGCACCCACTCACACTTTGCCCACGCTTCTTATTGTTCTGAACTGCTTGTCCTTGGCAGCAAAATTCAGCATGATGTGATATGCCAAGAGTTTTATGGAATATCCTTCTTTTATGAAATAACACAAGAAGTTATTTGGATGGAATACAGGCTGGGGAAGAAAAAAGGGGCATTTCATCTTTAACACTTACTTTGTCATTCTATAAAGACTTAATACAACACTTTCCACTCTTAAAATCCTAAGAAGCTCCCTGCTCACCCCCCAGGCCACTTTCACTTTCTCCAGACCTGAGGTGGGGGTGTGGAATTTTTACCATCCTCTAAGAGATGAGGATGATGCAGGATGGGAGGGAAGCCATTGGTCTGTGATCTCGCAGCCCATGAGTTATAAAGTCCAACTGGCTCCAAATCTGGCCTTTGACCTCTGCCACAGAAGGCTCATCTCTCCAGCAGTCTTACTCTGAAGGCCTCCTAGAGAGGATCTTGCGGGAGACCTGAGCACACCAGGGACAGGGCACAAAGCTTGCTTCCAGGGACCTCCTTGCACCCTTCTCTCCTGCAGGAAACTGTGCCCACTACCAAAAGGGAGGCTGGTGGTATAATGCCTGTGCCCACTCCAACCTCAACGGGGTCTGGTACCGCGGGGGCCATTACCGGAGCCGCTACCAGGATGGAGTCTACTGGGCTGAGTTCCGAGGAGGCTCCTACTCACTCAAGAAGGTGGTGATGATGATCCGGCCCAACCCCAACACCTTCCACTAAGCCGCTCCCCTCTGGATCTCCCGTGGCCATCAGCAGGAGCCTGCCCAGCATGCAGCCCCAGCACAATGAGCAACTACTCACCAGCTCATCCTGGGCTGTAAGGACTGAGAGCTGGATTCTGTTTTTTGAAGTCACTGTGTCAGATAATGAAACTGGACTGGTACTGTGTTCTCTGTCCCTCCTCTACTTTCCTTCAAATCAGACAGCCCCTCATGTTTCTAGGACAGGACTGCAGACAACTCTTTCTTTAAATAAATTATCCCTACAATAAAACACCATTGCAAAATACCTTCACGATATACATGTGCATGAGCCTCTCCATGCACTTAAGTGTATGCCACATGTATATGCATTACATACTATCACATGTGATATGTCTAGATACACATATGGGTTTGCTATATATACACCGAAATGCACTCCAACTCTGACATTAAAGTTGTCCCCAACTTTGCTCTTTGAAGGAAAACATTTCCTTGATGCTGTGTTTCTGGAGCCTAAGGGCAGATCATAGGCTGTGTAGGCCCGATTCAAAGACTAATCCTCGGTGTTGGCGCACCTGGATTCTTCCAGGAAGGTCCACAAGGCTCATCTCTCACATAGGGGTTCCTGTCTCCCTCTCTTAAGAACCCCCTTGGGCACCTACTCAAATTTCAAAAATCATTTCTGTTTTTATGCTTTCTCTGTTCTCAGGATTGTCACCACCTTCTACCCAGTTATTCACTCACCCAGCGCCCTCTGTGTCAGTCCCCTGCTGCCTACACATTCAAGGCGCCCTTTCTCTTTACCCCTTGCCCATCCTTTTCTACCACAAGACCTTTCCTTCCAGGCAAGAGTCCGCCACCTCTGAGTAGGAACAGTCTGGGCGCAGGTTCTGGCCAGGGAAGGGAAGGCCAGGCCCAAAGCTACACTGGCGGCCATGTAGATTGTATATTCAGTTCTGTATCTTCCGCTCATACTTTAGCCTCCATGTCATTTTAACCTTCACACAATAGTAGCCCCTACCTTGCCAGAGACACTCAGCTGAAGAGACGTCATCACTAATGTGCTGGGGCCCCCAGATGGCTACAGACTGGAGATCCCATGCTCAGGTGGACCAGAGTCTGCACCTCATCCCCCAACTACGCTTCTCTGGAGGACAGGGGCCACCAGACTCCTTGGTTGGTGCGCTGCATCATGGCGGCTTCCTGAATTCTGCCAGACTCAGTACTACCGGGACGACTGCCAAGCCAGGGGCAAGAGATGAGTCAGGAAGGTGAGACCCTCCCCGGTGGGCACATGGGTCAGGCATGCGAGATGTGGGGCTTTTGGTACTGTCCACGTCTGGGTGCGTGCCTATTACCTCAGCAGTTCTCACAAGTGTACCATGTAGCATGTTTTGTGTATATAAAAGGGAGGGTTTTTTAATATATTCCCAGATTATCCTTGTAATGACACAAATCTGCAATAAAAGCCATCAGTGCTATATGATGCATCTACCCTGTGTGTTACTGTTTTAGACTGCTTTCCCGGGGCCTCTCACATTGGACCCTTTAAGATTTGGCATCTAGGGCACATGCCCAATCCATGCCTATGGCACTCTCCCTGTCTGGTTCCTGCCTGCTCCCTCCTGATCCCTGTGCCAGCACCTCAGCCAGAGTGGCTCTCTGGAGCCCAGCTCTGCGCTTCTAGTTACATTCTGAATACTTCCAGTGGGTGTCCTAAGAGCACCTCACAGCCGGGCAGGCAATCTCTGAGACGTGCTCCCCCAGGCCAAGCCTTCCTCCCCACCACATCCTCTGGCCTCCTCTCCCCACACCACTGCAGTGGGTGCCCCACCAGGAGCCTCTATCTCTCCCTCCTCCCAAGCCACACCCCCCACTAGGCACCAGAACTGTCTCCTACTACAACAGATCTGTGACTTGGGAAGGCAGGTCTAGACATGATAGGAAACCTTGAAGCTATAAAGGAAGAGACCAAGGGATATGACTTGAAATTTTTTTTTCTGTCTTCCAAAAAAGCAAAGCAAAATAAAACACTACCAAGATTGAGATGCAAATATCAAAAGAAAAAAAATATTTGCATGTAAATAGCAAATCCAGAATTAATACTATGACATATTCCAAGCTTTCAAATTAAGAAAGATGCAAATACTGTGATAGAAAACTTGGCCAAGTATGTGAACAACCTTAGAAGTTGCAAATGGCCAGTAAACACGAGAAGATGTCAACTGCAGGGAGAACTAAGGGGTTGCACTGAGGGAAGGGTTAGCCATCATGTGTTGCCTCTCAGACTGGCAAAGACAGGACTGAGGTATAAACTGACTATTTTTTCAAGAGTAAGTTGGTGATATCAAAGTTTAAAATGCATTTAGGTCCTTAGACCCAGCAGTTCTTCTTAATCATCAAGAATACAACTGTGGGAAAGCCTTCTGGAGTGGGGTGTAGTTAAGGAGACTCTGTGTGTTTGGTGCTAAGGATGGAACCCAGGGCCTTGCAATGCTAGGTAGGTGCTCTGCCACTGAGCTATACCCCCAGTCCCAAGACTTGATGTTTGTAAAGCTTATTACATGCTTAAAAATGGACTTCTATTTTTTATTTCACCTTCATACAACTCTGTGAAGGAAGGATTATTATTCCCATCTCACTGAAGAGCAGGAGGCTTGAAGCTGAGGCTTGAAGTCAAGAATGTGCCACCAGGAGTTAATCCAGAAAGGACTAGGTGTTGGCACTGAGGACAAGTTCTTAGCCCTCCTTCTACCTCTCAGTCAGTTGCTTGGTCACAGGGGAATGCTACCTTGGCCCAGACCACAGCCACACCTCCTCAACATCTGGAGCAGAGTTGGGAGATATAGAAAACTTAGGCAAAGGAAAATGAGGTACACCCTTACTGCTCACTGGCATCATATCCAAACCCCAAAGCAGAAAGTTCTAGAAAGTCAAGCTAGTCAATATGAAGAAGTCCTTTATCTGAGCTACCTGGGATCCAAATAAAAGCAGACCATAATACCAACTCCTACTCCCCACCAAGCCCTATCCTGGCACCCAAATCTGGGTATTATCCAAACCATACCCTGGCTATATGGAGCAGAGGAGTAAGGTCCTCAAAGATGTGCAGCCTGCTTTCCCCAGAGTAAAAATGAAAGGGAGGAGGTCAGTTCACTGGGTAGCACCTGGAGAAAGATCATGGGAAAGGGAGTTGGGCTCAGGGACCTGGAGGCTGGGGACCTTGAGCTGTTCTCACTAGCAGACAGCCAGTTAGCATCTGGAGGTCTGCCCAAGTCAGATCAGCAGTGCTCCTCTGCCTTCCAGCCAGCAAACTTGTCAGGCCTATAATCACAGAAGTACTCCATGGTTGGTACCTCTGTAGACCTAGATGGATATCAATAAAGCCCAGACTTCCTCCAGTGCCAGCCAAACCCCCACATCCCAGTTTTGGCCAATACTTTGACCAGTAATGGTCCCCAAGCAGGTGCCACTGAACAGAACCTCCTTCTCCAAATTTTGCCAGTGTGAGCAAGATTGAAAGAGAAACCTTCAAAGGACTGGAAGCAATGACAATGGGAGTCCTCCATGCCTAAAGCCCAGACACTCAGGAGTCCAAGGGGTCCTCCCTGAATTCCAGGACCACCTCACCTGCTTCAGTCTTATTGAAATCTGTTAAAGAAACCCAGGCAACTAGATTAAATAAAAAGGGCACATTTTGGGTACAAAGATGTAAAAAGGCACTCCCTCTGCCTCAGTTTTACCTGGCAGTCCCAAGACTAAGGACAAAATAATAGTTACCAGGATCTCATATTCCAGAGCTTGCAAGGTGCAAGATCATCACCACAAAGGAACAACCTCAGGCTGCAGCTTAGTGATGCCCACCTGAATTCTATGTAAGAAGTGCAAGGAAAAGATCATGGGGTGGGGGAGAATGATGTGTCCCTATGATATGTCCTCTGCCACACAGGAAGAGGAGATGTCTTCCTTACCCCAAACCATGTGAGAGGGATGACAAGGAACCACTCCCGGAGCTGGTGAGGCCCAAGCCAGCAGAGCAGTGAGAAGTGTAAGATTCTGGAAGCTCCCAGACAGCAGGCTACCTGGATGACAGGGGTGGGGGCAGGGCAGCAAGTACGGAACAAGGGAAGCAGCAGTGAGCATCAGCTGAGCTGGAGGAGCAGCGTTACCCTACCAGGAGAAGGTGAGGTGCCCAGAGAGAGGCTGGTAGCAGAAAAGAGGAGACGGAGTTCAGGCTGCGTGCCAGGGACAGGCAGGTACAACTCTGGAGGAGAACTGAGCAGCCACGGAACATGGGCTCTTTCCTGTCACCTCTTCTGGCCCCTGCTCCAATTCCAAGGGCCGGAAATCTCTGTGGGCAAGTGGAGGAGGCAGTGGGGCTGGCCAGGATTCAGCGAAGAAGCTGACCTGTACCCTCCCCAGCTCCAGCTGGTTGGCTTTAGGAGTCCAGACTCATGAGTGCTACACAGGACTATCTGGAATGACAGCATTGTCAGAAGGAACTGGGCTTTGTCAAGCCTGACACCAAGAAGACCAAGGGGCCTGCTGAGTTCTCAGCTTTGCTGGGAAAAGAATTAGTTTACTGAGACGCTTGAAAGGACACTGCAGAAAAAATAAGGTTGGTTTCTTCTTCCACCTGAGTCCAGCTCATTTAATAAGCCGGTTATATAAGGACACGAGGTATCTCCCTGAGTCCACGGGCCGGGATGCAGCTGGGCCTCCCGAGGGCCAGGACCAGAAACTGCCTGGAAACCCTTCAGGAAAGAAGGCGGCACCCTTCCCCGCCCCGCTCCTCTCCCCTTCCTGCAGGATTTCTTTCTCGGTTTCTCACTGTGCACCTGTCCAGAGTACCCTCACTCCCTGTTCCAGCAACAGCCCCACCTGGCTTTCCTGAGTTCACACGTCCCCCAGGTCTGAGCGCCAGCATCTCTACATTCCTATGCCAACTCCTGGATGAAGAATCTGATTGGCCAGCCAGGGCCCTGGCTCAGAGCTGGACTGGGTGGAATGAACGCTGCTGCTGGGGTGCAATGCTGTGCAAGAGACAAGGAAGTCCCAGGTTCCCAAGGGTGGGGGTCATGGGATGGATCTCTATTCAAAAAGGGGTTTAGACTATACTCCAACTGTCATTGGCTCCTATCCTCTCTAGAGACCATGCATACTTTGCCAACTAGATGGATTCCATCCCATTACTCATGTGAAAGGGTCCTGTTTCCCAGGCTTTCCCTTCCTGACCACTGTCCTTTCCTAAAAAGCACACCTAACCCTTCCAGGCCCAGCTGGGTTACTAAACATGACCCCTGGCTATGCCCTTATGGGGTTCCTCCTGCCCTTCCTGGGGACACTGGATTTCTCAACAATCTCTGGATAAGAGAAGCAATAAGCTCCCCACTGCTGGGACCTTCCTGGCCACATTTTGCTCTGGGCAACACTGATACCATCTATCATTATGGGCTACTTTCCATGTTCCAGGGAGCATGAAGGTTTCTAAATTCTTACAGCCCTTTAAGATGGGTTTTATAATTACCCTCTCTTCAACATAGAAAATTGAAGCTCTGTGATGTAAACAACCTGCTCAAGAAGGTGCAGCCTGAGAACCTGGGAACTTCAGCACCATGGGTCTGGTTCCTGAGCTGCCTTCATGGCATCCACCACTGCACTCTAGGAGGAAATGATACCACCGCTCCATTTCTATTAGCCATGGCTCAGGAATGCATCTGAGAATCGTGGTGATCCTGAGCTCCTGCCCACAAGAGTGGCCAGCCTGCCTGCCTATGCAAAAGCAGCTAGGGGACAGCAGGTCCCTAGATGTCAGGAAGCCAGTCCATGACTATTTGCCCAATTTACTTCAGAGCAATGGGCACAGAATAATAGAGGCAGTGATGGAGAATATCTCATAGCTTCTTGGGCCTTCCAACAGCTAAAGCCACTGGACCTGCCTTTCTCCTCTCTCTCCTATGGGACAGAAAGCCACTTGTCCTACAACCTTCAGATCCAACAACCCCAGCCTTTAATGCTCAAAGTGTTCCTCTGTGGCTAGTCTGGTATCACCTCATATACCAGTTCTTCCTGGCCTGAGCCTTGGTCTATGTTGTCTGGTAGCTGGATCCTGGGTATGGTGGCTTATCTCCTGTCTGTGTACCCTCAGGTATGTGGCTTGCTAACCTTGGTCTTTCTCAGATTCCAGAGTCAGGCTGGTACCAGTACTGACCTGGGATTCTACCCCTTATGGACACAAGCCTTGAGGCCAACCATCCCGACATTCAAGCATCTTGTCTCCCCCAACTTGGGGCATCGTGGGCCAGCTCAACACACATGTGGGAACCAGACACAGATTATTTTCCTGTCTGCACAGCCTCCCAAAGCACTTCCACATGTGGCCCCTCCTGGGTGGGTGGCCATCTGGCTGTCCCATGTCCTGCTGGCTGATGGTCATGATGAGTATGACTCCATGGGAGGGTTAGAGGGTTCTCCCTTTCCCTTGCTGAAG